GCCGACCAAAAAAAAGAAGCCATAACAAAATATAAAGCAAACCCAGAAATTAGAAGGAAATAAAATGCCACCTTCTGAATATCTTCTCTTAGAATAGGCCCCAGATTTTCAAGTGGGGTTTGCATAGACAGTCAGAAACATGATAATCAGAAAATAGAACAAAGGGTGCATTCTCAAGTGTCAAGGAGCAAACCTCCTTAAAGTTTAAAAAGTTAGGGAAAGGCTCATCTATGGTTTTATAGCTATGATATGTCATCTCATACAAAAGTTTTTTGGGCTCGAAGTATGCATAAGGCACATGCCACTTCTACATGGTGCTGAAATTAAAATATATTTATAAGAAGGGCAATGTTTTTCTCATGTTACATGAGATAATATTATCTTATGTAGAGACATAATTAAGTGTGTCTCATAATTAAAAGAAAAGAAAAAAGAAATGTTGGCTCGAATTTCAATGTGTGTAATATGAGAAAAACATTTTCCTTATAAGAATGAGGAGAGCAAGATCAAAATTCTAACCAATTTGTCACAAAGGCTCTAATCCAATGTCAAAGATAAACTCTCTTAAGTTTAGTAAAGTATTATCAATGATTTTATATCTCTAACATCAAGAAAGGACCAAGTATTATAATATAAACCTTTGTTTTATCACGTATAACAAAAAGTATCATTGTCTTGGGGAGACTAAATAAACACATCATAACTTACACATAAAAGGAAAATCAAATGGTGAAAACTTAAACACTGAATATCAGCCGGAGGTTAATTCATTGCTGTAAAGTGTAAACTACCTGAATAATTGTTTTCAAAAGAGGTCTATCAATATCATGATACCACCTGTGAATAAAACTTCGTCTTCAACAATCAATCAAAATGGATTAAATTTTATCTGTGTAAGTCTCCTGCAGGCTCCCATAACCCATGAAAAAATTTCTTTTAACTTTCTGATTAAACTTGACTCCAAAGAAAGGGAGGAAATAAGGATTTGGATTTTGAAAAGATTGCTGAGTTACACATCTCAAAAAAAAAAAAATAATAATAATAATAATAATAATAATGAAGGAAGAAACTTTTATGCATATCATGATTATTATCAACTTTCACAATTTCCAATACGAAATATACTATAATATGCTTCACCCTATGTTCATTGATATACAATGTCATTGATCCTAAGTTTCATTCACAGTTCTACACTTCTACGTGTAGCAGCCCAATTGGGCCCACCAGGTACAGGAAGCGGAAGACCCATTCTTATCAGGAGCAAGCCCAAGCGTCTAGAGGACTTTATATGTTGACATAAGCCCAATTATGAATTAATGGATCAATATGTTTGAATTTTGTTGGAAAAGGAAATAAATAAAAGAGAGATTGGATCACACTCACACATACCACAAGTAAGTTCTAGTTTAGTTTAATACTTCAATACATCACTTCTTTTTAAAATATTCTAATCAATTCATTGTTTCATGACTAGTTTGATTCGGGGCGGGTTCATGATTAAAATTTTAAATCTATTTCAAAAAATATTAGATGATCAAATACATACTTTCATCTCTACTTGCTCAACTCTAATACGTCAACTGAGCTTTTGATACTTCAATACCTCACTAAATATAAATGTAGTTATGAACAAGTTTAAAGGAAATGAGAAAGTCAAGAAAAGTTGAAAGAATGAGTGAACGGACATACATAGTTACTCTTATTGGTGGGATGCAGATGTGAAGATATGATGGTAGTATATTATATTTTTTCCAAGTGCAGCGTGCAATGCCATGTAACCTACCCTTTCTTTTCTTTATTTTGTTTTGTATTAACTTTGGAGAAATATGCTATAATTTCATTTATTTATTTATTTATTTATTTTTAAATCATACTTATAATATATTCACTACATCTTATTGCCCATTTTGGATTGCTTATTGTCAAAGCTAATGAGATCAATTTATCAGTTAACGAGTTAAAATATAACCTGGCAAAATAAAAAAGGAATTAAAATATAAAAATTAATAAACAAATATAGAAACATGTATTAATTGTACCCATTTAGTGTAAGCTTGTATTTAATTTTAAGCGATGAATGACAATCTTTTTATAAAACAAATAAATTACATTTTAAGCCCTTTTAATTTTTTTTGTTGTTGTTGCTTGAGTTACTTATTAACTCTCTTTTCCGTTATGGTTAGCAAGTCCGATTCCTCAACTTTTTTAAGAGAACTGCAAGGCTTTATTATTTGGGGTAAAAGATTAGAGTTGATAAATTGGCGTTATAAAAACCAAATATTTTAGCCATGTGTTTTAACTTTCTATATAACTTTGATAGATAATAGTTTCAATTGGAATTATAGTATATAACAATTAAGTAGCTTGAAAAAATATTATAAAAAATTATTTGAAAAAGTGTGAAATTAAAAAGGGAAGAAAACATTAGTGTGTAGGAAAACTGATCCGGACACCACTTGATAATAATGTAAAATAACAAGCAATATATAAATGGGTTTTTAATTTGTCATATTACAGAAATACTATTTATATCATTCCTGCTAATGGATCGAAAATCTCACTTCTTTTTTTTTTTTTTTTTTTTTAATGTGACTCACCATAATCTCTTCTCTACCTGACAACTATTCATTATTCATGACAACTTAAAAACCCTATACAAATCCAATATAATACATATTCCCTTCTTTTTATTTGATAGAAATATGCAAATACTTTGAATAACACATATTACAACCATATCATAGAAATTTTGACTTTCTATGAGCCATACTAATTTCAAGGCCAGGCTCCACAGCAGCCCAATGGGCTACAAAGGCCGTAGGCTCAAGCAATGATAGTTAATAAAACTACAAACATAGTGAAACGCTGTATGCCTATCTTGTCCTATGACTTTGTCTTTGAGGACAAAGCTATTATTTTAAGAATCTTTGCTTCATAAAATTTTGGGATACCTTCATTTTAATTTATTGTGGTTACATGAATTACTAGTTGACCATTTGTGGTTTCAAACTTGTTATTTAAATTTATTTTGATTACAAAATTGTATCATTTAATCCCTTATAATTTCAAAGCATCACATATACCCATTCTGATTATAAAAATATTTCACTTAAACATCTTGTAGTTTTATATATAGACGAAATTTTTTATTTTTCTTAATTTTTATCTTATAGTATTATCAAATTATAAATTAAAATTTTAATAAGATTAAGTATTAAAGATTAAATAAAAAATTATATGTTTATTATTTATGTATCCTAAAATATAAATTAAAATATTATATTAAAATTAAAATATTATTTAAGATATAACATTTTTTATCATAATTTTTTTCTTAAAAAAGTATATTCATCTACATGAATAATTACTTTAAATTTAGATTTAATATTTTTATATTTATTTTTAATTAACAATAGTATCAGTTTTTTTTTTTTTTTTTTGGTAAAACAATAGTATAAGTTAAATCCTTCTAAATTTATACATGTAAATTTTTTCATGTTTTTATTTCTCATTCTATATTAGTACAATAGTACCAATTTAAATTATAATATAATTAATAAAAAAATATAACATTAAAAAACAAAAATTATTTATTTGAAAAATATGATAAAGTTAATAATTTATTTAAAAATTATCTTAATAACAAAACATATTATTTAAGACAATCAAACACCTATAATCTAATGCATTCAATTCAAAAAATTAAAATAAATTATTAAAAAATTCGTTTATATTTATCTCGAAAATATATTTAACCAAAATATTATTTTATTTTATTTTATTCTTATCTAATATCGTTATAATCAAGGAAGCACGGACACTTGTAAAAACAGGAAGAGTCGGGTACGACACGCTCTGACACGGCGACACGCTCTGACACGGTGTCGGACACGCGGTTGACTTTTTCCAACATGTTGACCATTCCGACACGCGAATTTGACCGTGGACACGCTCTGACACGGTGTCGGACACACGGTTGACTTTTTTTCGACACGTTGACCATTCCGACACGCGAATTTGACCGTGTACGACACGGTCAAATGACATTTTCGTAATATTTTTTTAATTTTTTTAAAAAAAAAATTATTTTTTTTAAAAGTTAAAATATATTAATAAAGCTTCCACCTGATCATATCAATTTTATCCTTTTGTCTTTTTTCCCCTTAAGTAGATAAGAGATCATCTCAGCATCATTGTTGTCAATTTCTATCACTCTCTTGTTGTATCTTCTTCTCTCTGATCTCTCTAATATGATTTGATCTCTCTATCTGATATTATATATCTATCTCATCCCGGTTCTTATTTTTTTTATTAAAGCTTCCATCTTTATAACGTGTTGATGGGTATTATTAATTTAGTTTTATTTTTTGTTAAATTATTAAATATTAAATGAAATATACACTGTATAAATTAAAAATATTATTTAATATTAAAACATGTCCCAAGGTGTCGAAATTCATAATTTTTTAGGATTGACGTGTCGGAGTGTCGTGTCGTGTCACCTGTCGCGTGTCGTATCGGTGCTAGATAGGTTATAATATTACAAAAATGTTTAACATAAATAATTTGTTTAGAGGATACATCTTTAATTTATTTTAAATATGTTTTTTAAATAAATAATAAATTAAGTTGATTTTAAAATAATTTCAAAATAAATAATTTTTTAAAATTTAATAATTAATTTTATTAAAAATTTGTTTGAGAATATCATAATTCTATAAAATAAAAATAGAAAAATGTTTACCAAAAAAAAATTTAGAATTCTTTTTTAATATTTATAAAACTAAAAATGATCTAAATAATATATTTTTATAGCCATAACGAGTGTAATTAAAAACTTAAAATATTAGGAGGTGTTAAATAATAAATGTATCTAACCACATTGGATTTGAATGATAAATTTGAAACCACGGGTTAAATAATACATCGAAGAGACGAAAATGAAGTTTTCTCTAAAAAATTTGTACATGACGGTTCCAAGCTTAAGCTTATTTGCTTTACAAGCAGCTCTCCGGTTGAACTGAACCGGACGCATCTCCACCGGCATTGTTACACAAAGCTTGGGCAACTTGGTTATTGTAAGTGAGCTTCACATCCTCCAACCATATCCCGCTGCATGGATAATCAGAACTGCAATTAAATTTCACTGCAACTTGGGTTTCTGATGTTCCATGAACGTTGTGGTATGTGACATTATTGATTTTGACTCCAGAGGCCTGTTAATTTGGGCAAACAAAAATAATAAATTCAGCTCACTTTCATGCTGATGCTAGCCTGATAATTTCCTTTTTTTTTTTATTCTTAAGACTAACCTGACCAGGGCAATCCTTGTTTCCTGGGCAGTAATTTTGGTCAATTACAATGGGGTTTTGTACATTGACCATTACTGCGTCTTGGAAAAGGACGTTCCGCACAAATCCATTGCTGGGTCTCCCCCATGTCTTTATTCTAACACCATTCTGAGTCCCCCTGAATGTAACCGTTTTAACTGTCACATTTTGGACTCCAGGTTCGTTCAAAGCACTTCCTAAGCTTCCAATGCTACAATATCCAATGAACAATTATTATTATTATTATTATTAATCCTCTAATAATGTTGAGATATATAGTCCCACATTGACTGGATGGGCAATTAATAAGGCTTTTGGTGTGGTGTATTCCAAGGTTCTTAACATGGTATCAGAGCCTCACCGTCCCCTGCTTTAAAAAGTGGAATTAAAATAAAAAAAGCACAAAAAGGTAAACCAAAAATGGGCCTGTGCAATTTTCACGCTTCTAAGCCTGAAGGGCTCTTGCGTGAGGGGACGTGTTGAGATATATAGTCCCACATTGACTGGATGGGCAACTAATAAGGCCTTGGGCACTCTCACCCCTTGAACTAGCTTTTGGTGTGGTGTATTCCAAGTTTCTTAACAAATAACATGGAACAACATTTTTTTAATTTTGTAATGAAAAGAATAAAAAAAAAGAACCTTATTCCATGGCCTGGTCCACATGCAATGTTTTCTATCCATAAGTTAGAAGTGCCGGGGCCGATGGAGACGCAATCATCGCCGGTTCGAATTTTGGAGTTGAGGATGGTGACATCGGAGGACATTTGGACATGTATGCCGTCCGTGTTAGGGCTGTTTCCGGCTGCCATGACCTTAACGCCTTGCACTGTCACATTCTGACATCCATATATCACTATGTGGAACATTTGACTATTAATCGATGTCAACCCACTAATAGCAATGTTGTTGGAGTTTGCAAATTCCAGTGTCTGCAACACTCACCACAAAAGAAATCCACCTTTACTCCAACATAACACACCTTTAGTGCAACACACCACATTATTGAATAATTATTCTTGCTTGAAAATTTTATAAAACAAAGGAATTCTCCTTTGTTTTATAAAATTTTCAAGCAAGAATAATTATTCAATAATGTTGTTATTCTCCTTTGTTTTATAAAATTTTCAAGCAAGAATAATTATTCAATAATGTGATCTTTTAGGATCTCACGCCACTACAAACTAATATATATGTAAAAATATTTTTGGTGCAAAGGGAAATAAAATTATCTGGGGTTAATATAGAATATTTTAGAAATTATAGCCACAACCACAACCCAAGTTAATTAAGGACTTGGTGTGCATTTGGGTTGACTTTTTCTCTCTATAAAAGTAGCTTTTTTCCCAAAAGAAAAATACTTTTGAGGAATTTTATGTGTTTGGATAATAACTTTTAAAAAAAAGTTTAAATGATACTTTTTTAAAGTCATGACTCCTTACTTCCAAAAAAAGGGCAGAAGTTAAAATGTAATTTTATCTCAATCCACTCTATCCCACTAATTTTTTATTTTTTTTTGGTAATCATTATTATTATTATTATTATTTTCATCACATATTTTTTTAATAATATATAAATTATGTCATTTTATTTAAAACTACTATGTTTTAATTGATATTTAAATTTAAAAAAATTATCAATATTACCATGATTTCTATTATGCAACTGTTTCTCTCACCATAAAATGATAAAACACTTTAGTTTTGATTAAAAGAACACAATCCTATATTTTTTAAAAAGACAAACACTCTTCCCACCCACCACACACACACACATATATATATATATATGTATGTATTTTTTTTCCCTTGAAGATTTATATTGAAAGTGCAAGACATTTCCTTATAAAGTGGCTAATATATTATGATTCAGAAAATAACAAAAATTCAATTCCAAAAAACTAACTCACACTTAAGCCTGTTTGGATGAGCTTTTTTACTCCAAAAATTGCTTTTTTTAAGAAAAAAAAAACATTACTCGCTATAAATTCGTTTGAATGTTTGCTTTAAAAAAACATAAGTCACAAAAAAGTAAAAAATTTATATTTTTTAGAAGCAAAAAATTTTAAATTTTAAAAAAAGCAGAAGTCAAAAGTCAAATATTTTTTTCAAAAATTAAATATTTTTATAGAAATATAAATAGCATCAACTTTTGTAAAATACACCTCTAAAATAAAGAAGGGATAAAAACTATATTTTTTTTTATAAGCTCAAACAAACAACCTCTTAGTGGACCCAATTCGGATATACTAACGAGAGAACCTTATTATAACCTATGATTAGGATATTATTACTGACTTCCCCCTTATTATTTATTTCAATAGGTAACAACCACGTTGAGCGGTTGCAAACGGTTCCATGATCTCCATCCACTACTAATCACCTGGGTTAACTCCAACTCAAACTTGAAATTAAAAAATTAAAACTAAGTCAATAATAATGTGTAATGTGTGGAAATTAATTGTTTTATGTGTTATTTAACCATGTATGTAACATAATCTTAACCATGTATGTAACAGAATCTTAACAATACAAAAATAAATCAATACTGATGATTTTGTAACTATATATTCTCATGTTTTTCTTTTCTTTTTTCTGCTCTTATTATTAATAATTTATCTTTATATAGTTATAATTCTTCCATATGAAATGACCATGTTAAATAATATATGAAACAATCCACTTCCATAGAACATACCGTGGCTCCTAAAGGGCAATTACTTTCGTCTGAGTTCTTGCAATCCCACAAGGTGTTGCCTTGGGCATCAAGTACCCCACCACGAATTGAAACCCCGTCGACATACTCGAACACCAACCAGTTTCTGGCTTTGGAGATGAGCCAGATATTAGAGGGAGCAACCAATGTTCCATCAATGGATATGGAGATAGCATTGTTGCTACATTTCCCTTTGAAGGTGGCATTTCCAACCAAGAACCTACCTTGTGGTACGTAAATTAAAGCAGGGTTGGAAGAGGCACAAGCTTTGTCCCAAGCATTAAGGAATGCCATGGTGGAATCGGTCTCCCTGTCTGGTTTGGCTCCAAAGTCGACCACATTGTACATTACTGCTTCGGCCATGGCTAAATTCAACCAACAATGTAAGACCACAACAACGAAAAGAGGACTAACTACTTTTGGTGTCGGGTTTGGCATTTTGGAATTTGGTCAAATATTGAAGAGGGTGTTTGCGAGAGAGAGAAAGAGTGAGAGAAATTTGAGGATGGAGTGGTACAAGTGGTGAATAAGGTTGGTGGGTGGGGTTTGGGAGTCAGAGCGGTTTGTGAGGGTATTTATAGTAAGGTTTTGGGTGCACTGTGCAGGTTAGATTCCTCTAATGTCCCCCTCACCTCCTTCTTTTTTTTTCTTTTTTTCTTTTTTCTTTCTATATTAGAAGAATGATTCGTTGCATGTCCTTGTCAAATATGTTAGTACTATGTTATCGTATGTAATAAAATAATTCAAACTTATAAAAGAAATGAAGGCAAAGCAAAAGTCGCACCTAATTAAGATTGGAGTTAAATATAGTACTTTTCGTGCACTTTTTTTGTTGTTGTTGTTGAAAACATTTCGTGCACCCTGTGATTATCTATTCCCTTTCCTTTACGGGGCGTTTGGTACGCGGGATTTTGAGGGATTTCCGGGAAACTGAATTTTTCTAAATTTTAAATTTTTAGATATTATCGTAAACTGAATGCAAAAATCATATTTTTGAAAATCGAGATTCCCGGACAAATAAAAATTTCTCTTGTACCAAACGCCCCCTTAACTGATTTTCGATATTAATATTATAATTCATATTTTGTTATCTTTTTTAATTTATGGAAAGTGTTTTTCATTTGTGCGTTCCTTCTTTTTATGGTATTATTTTTCTTATGTTACATGAGAGAAAAATTCTCTTATGCACACATAAAATATAATGTGGATCCTACTAAATAAAGAAGAGAAAAAAACATAAAGTGAAATTCACATTACGCATAAAAAGATTTTTCTTTCATGTAAAATGAAAAAAATAATAGCTTTTTTATGTGTCACAATAGACATAAATAGAGAACAACATGTTATAGGTAAGCATACTTTTAGTGTTTTGGGAGCAATATTTATTTACTAAAAGTAAAAAAATAAAATAAAATAAAATATAGGTGATATATATTATAAAAGAAAAAAATAAAACTCAATAATTTTTTTTTCAATTTTAACAAATGATATACTGAACTCAATAATTAAAAATATTTTCGTTATAATGTTTGCTTCCATATATCAACATATTATGTGAGGTTTATGTGAGATAAAATACAATAGATTCTAGGGTACGTTGGGGCTTGCAGCAATTATAAAATTAGTGTTTACTTTTAATAAAATGTCAATATAATATTTTGACATCATCGTCCATCATGTGTTGAAACTTTTTCTAATATGCTTAGTTATATTAATTATTACATGTAATTAATGTAGAATTCATTAAATAATATGACAATCCATGAATAGATATAACTCATATAAGTCTAAAAAATTTTACGTTAAATTCATGAAATTAAGTATATTAAATTTATAGTTAGATTAAGTAACGGGGATTAAGCTCATCATATAAACCTATAATGCCATTACTTTTTATTAAGGCATATGCATATATTCAATTCAAGTAGCTTTATAATATAGGATCGATGGGAAAACCTGAACTTTATAGGAAGAGGAAAATAAAAAAGAGAGAGGTCAACAGATAGGAAATACAGATTAAATGGGTTTATAGCTCAGATAATAACAGAAAATGTAAAGCGGGTATAAACATGGCGCCTACTTATAAAAAAGAGAGAGGCTTGAATTACGCCAGGTTTCATGCATTATATGAGATTATCATTTCACGCTTGTTTCATGAAACGTTCCTTGGCTCGGTTAGGGCAATGACGCCACCATTTCGTACTCTTTTTTCAGGAGCCAAGTACGCATGTACCAGTTTAATTCAATATTCTCTCGCTCTCTGTCCTTTTATTTTTGTACATTAGAACTAATTCTTTGTAAGGTGTCTGGTGCACTCACTCTATACTTCAAGGAGTAATGTTCCGGAATTATATAATGGGCCCACCAGCCTTGGAGAAAGGACCTTATCCAATTTGAGGCAAACTCTTATATGAATAAAGGATTAAGCCTCATAAATGTTATCTTGAAATCCTAATCCTCCTAGCTGTCAATGTGTGTGTGCTCGTTGTGCATAGTAATTTGCCACCACACGTGATGTCTCCTCCATTTCCACCATTAGCTCACATATCATATAGCAACTTCAATCCACCATGGTTTAACATTGACACTGTCTGTAGGGACGATAAATTTAAATTCTCATTCCATTATGGTGAGCACACATAACACAATGTACAACCACTAGCCACAACAACAATCTTCGCAGTAGCAACAACAAGATGTACAACAACAATAATAACCAACAATAATGCCCATGGCTCTGTAGAGTTCGCCCCATCTCCATCTCGTTAGCCCAACCAAATCCTCATGTCACGTATCTTATTCAAAAGATCAAATACCTGAGCGTCCGTGAGCTAGCACCGGTATGTAAAAAATTAGAATTGTTGTTAGATTGGCCAGCTCCAGAAGTGCCACCACCTTGGGAACCCACCGCTACTGCTATCGCTAAAGCCACATTCTTCTTTGCTGTCATTCTTGCTTTGTATACTTGGTCCATCACTTGAACAAGGAAACAAGTGAAATGCCATATTAGAACCACCAAGTACACTGTTCTCACCAACGAGGGTATTGATTTTCTTAAGGTTTGAATCCGTCATAATAATTTTGCATGAGTCGACGACGATACACACTGTCCCAAATTGTTTAGCTAAATCATCAAAAAAATTTGTAAGTTGTCTTCTCTTCCTCGCCAAAATTTTGAGAATATCGTAGAAAAGATTGCGGCATTTGTGAGTAATGTAACGGCCAGCCGCTTCAAGAATCAATGACTATCCCCACATACTAACACGAGACTTTTCAGTATGCTTTTTTCTCACTCGCACACTTCCTGAGAAAACTTTCCAGGAGGTCACCCATCCCAGAATTGCTCCAAGTCAAGCACGCTAAACTGTGGAGTTCTTCCGATCCGGGCTACCGAAAAGCAGATGCATCTTGTTAGTATAGGTAGTACCAATTAATTCTTATAAGCTATCCCAAACTGTGCAGTCTCATACCTGCACAGTCTTTGGAATCCCTCTCTTTCGGGTGTCAATTCGATTCATTCATGCATGTAACCCCACGCTGGAAGCCTGTCAGGAGCCGCTTCTTGTCTGTGCCTCTTTGCACCGGCGATCACTCCCCGCCCTCGTCAGCGCTCGAGATGTTACAAGTAATGACCTCGATCAGTGAAAGAGGTAACTTAGGAGAACCACCCTCCTTCAGTATGAATAAGCAAGGACGAGAAAGACTTGCCCTTCATCGCCAGTTCTTCTCCTCCCTGGCTAAGAAATTGATGTAATTTCTGTCAATGCGGCCAGAACCTTGAAGTAATCCAACTTGAAGTTCTTCCAATTATCTCCAAAATTCGTACACCACCTTAGCATCGGTTACGCTTTCAAGGAGACTCATCTAAGCACAATAGAACCCTTATCTATGCTATTTTGGAAGATGAAAACTATTCAAAACAAAACATTATATGAATAGGTGGGTCTGTGGGCTCGACATAGGACTTTGAAAACATGAAAAAACACCTCGTGTTGGGAAGACGTTACCTCAAGGTGGCAGAGAACGTTTACTTGAAAATGAGTAAAGGGAAATGGGACATTGAGGTCCAAAAAGAGACATTGATACACTAAAATCTGATGGGAACCTTCTTCCCTTGATGGAGAACACACCCTCTCGTCTAAACCCGAAGACTCAATTTGATGACGATCCTCAATCTCTCCTCCCCCGGTCAGTTGGAGACTATGCGCCATAGAGTATAGAGGTCCTCGTCTTCTTCATAAACTGAACTAAGACTTAAGGCTTTCTCATCCACCCATTGGAGCTCGTCAGCGTTGGAGGGAAAGAGGAAGCGAGAAGGTGGCAACTGCCTATACGGATGGTTCCTCATCGCGGTAGACCTAAAAGAAAACCCAAGGTTAGATAGGGGATGCCCAGAACAAGACTCTAAGCTATTGGAGCTTTCTGAAAATTGATCCCCCATCTGCGTCTATAGGCTTTCCTTATTGCTCGGAAGTGGACCCTAATATGAACTCGTTAGCCTAGGTGTATACCTGGAATAGGAAAGAAGAAAGTCTAGACAATTCCTCGAGACATAAAGTAACCCTAATCCGCCTTAAGTAAGGCACCAAAGAAACAAAGAGACTCTCAATCCCCTATAACAAGAACGATATCCACTGTCGGAAGATCCAACTTTGGCGTCCCTCAAACGATACAAGAAAAACATTCAATGCTCAAATTCCTCCCTAGTGAACCTATTTTTCTCTTTGTGATTATTTCTAATATCCAAGAATACATAAAGATCAACGTAAGGGAGTACCTAAAGTAAAACGATGAAGTGTCTATCATGAAAATCCAAGGAATTGGATGCAAGCCTATAGATACTTGATAACAACCAAAGCGCCTCCAAAATCATCGAAAAACTACTACGAAATCTCGAATGTCAGCAAACAGGGACAACACCAAAATTGATGAGACTGGCCAAGAGAATCAATATTCTCAAGAAAAGAGCACCATAACTCCAAGGAGAACGCAACACAAGAAAAATGAATACGCACAATTGTGAATATGAGTACTAATAGGTTTCAAAAGTAAAAATGAATCAGTATGTGAAAGTGAAAAACAACAAATGCGAGGAAAGTGAAAAAGTTACTAGCCAATAGGGTGATGGCATTTTTATCTTCACACCTTTAATTATTTTTCGAAAAATGTCGTTATCATTGCTTTATGCCGCTCAAAATCAAGTGCCCAATGATGTGAAGACACATGGCTTTGATTAGGCATTGAAGAGATACTCCAAGATATGGAGGCGACTAACATCCTATCATGTTAGCCATCTTCTAAGAACTTACTTCCAAGTTACATATGCAGAAGGCAAGGTAAGTTAATAGGAAACATTCTTACCTCGTAGTTTCGACTTATAAAACTTCAAGCTAAGGGGCTTATGTTCTAATATAATTTTCTAGATTGGGATCTTACTTGATAATTGGGACAAGGCACTTGGCTAAGAGGGAGGTCACTCCTCTCCATTGGCGAAATGTGACTTTGTCCGCCAGCCCATGACACTTCTCCAACCTGTGTCATAGATCTTCCCCATAATTTTACCATGACCATTACACCATCCATGATCACTACTTGCAAATTTCCTTCTTTGATCACTTTATACTCTCGCAACTGCCACAAAGCCTCTATAAAAGGCTAATACAGTGTTAAGGGGGACCTACATACTTGCATTCAAGCATTCCCAGTCTTCGACCTTCCAAAGCATCCTCTCTTCCTTAGGTGCACACACACACACAACCTAATTATTTCCATCAGACAATTGGCTGGAGATATTGATACTTCATTATCTGGCATCTTTTCATAAAAATATTTGCTTCTACTAGGTGAACAATATCAGTTCAACCAAACTGCACAGTTTCCATAGTGCCAAGAGTATCCATGGAGAGTATAAATTTTTCCAAAACCAATGGGGTGATTGACCCTTTTACCTCCGATTAAATAAATATTACTACTTTTCCCTGTTTATAAATTATTTAAAAATATTAACCTTTTATCAAAATTATACACCAATTTTCCCCTATTTAATGATAAGATCCATGGACATATCATTGAAGGCAGAAGAATTTCAAAGAGGATTAATGAAGCCTTGTAAAAGAATGAACAATTGGCAGTCATGTATCGTGTATGGATTTATGGCAGCGCTAATGAATTAATTAAGGTTGAGGAAAGATATGACCAATATATGCTTACAACAGGTCAATCAATAAGGGTGAGCTTGATGGATTGCAAGTGACAATATGGAAAGTTCGCATCATATAGGTATCCATGCAGCCATGTCATAACTGTGTGTAAGGCAACAACCATCAGCATTCATCAGTACGTGGATCCTGTATTCTTTATGAGTTACATTGCTTAAGTATATACTGCACAATGGTGTGCGATCAGTAATGAGTTGTTGATTTCGCCAGACTCAAAAGGAAATTATCAAGAATGTAAAATGAGTTGGATTGAGTTAAATCTTCTAGTATCCAGAATAGATATAGGCATTGTGAGCAAGTTGGTCATAACATACCTACATCTCCATTGAGAATTAGACAAGTGTGTTGTATTTTGGGTATTTTAATAAGGAGTTATGATTGTATTGGTTAGATACATTGTGGTTTGCATTGTTCATATAACCTTTTTTTGTTAAGTTCAATGATTATATCCATTACCATGTTCCGTTGCTAATTTATATTCATTTACATTCCATAAATTGTCATCCCTAGTCCAAATATAGTAGTACATGTGGAATGAATGAAGTTTGCACCATTCTTGTAGCTAACAACACTTTGGTAAGTTAAAACCAAGCTAAAACTTAGGTTTGATACATTTAATGGAATTAAGTTTTATGAAACCACAAAGCCCTCCCTAGGTCCAAAAGTACGAGTACATGACTATAGAAACTCATTTGAATGAAAAAATTTTGTGGAAAAAAATCTAGATGACTCAATTCAGTGATGTAATCTCAATCGTCCTAAAAAAAGAAGACCTGTGGCCGTCGTGGTAATGCTTGGACCGTCTGTTGGTCATGTGTCTTTTTGAGGGTCGTCTATCAGCCATGATAATAACACAAACCTACAAAAACACATAAAATTGATCAGCAACACAAAACCCAAGCATAATAATAAAAAAACTCAAAAATCAGTTCTGGAAATCGACCAAAAAATAATAATTCAAAATTGATACAATCCCAAACCCTACAACATTTACAACAACCAAAACCTAAACTAGGAAAAAATAAAACCAAAAAATCAAAGCAAAAAGTCAAGCCAATCGAAGAGAATGGAATTCATTTAGGTCTAGGGTTCATAAATCCAAGCCAACTAAAAAATACATACTAATTACTTGGAGAAAGGAGAGAATGATGTTAGGGAAAGAACCCACTACTCGATTTTAGGAAGATTTCTAGTAAAACTCACGAATTTGGGAGTAGTTGATTACCTCTTTTCTTTTTGACCTTTTTTGGTCGAAATTGGGGTTTTAAAAAATACCAACCTTTCATAAGTTAATTGATTACATGTCTCGTGAAATAGATTAACTTTGTGCCTCAAAATTTAATCAGTTACATGACTTATGTAATCAATTTCGATGACACCTACGAGTATAGGTATACACACACTATCCTAATTCCTTCAACTTCTTTGTGATTGAATGAGTGATATGATTTTTTTTTCTTTTCTCAATTTATTGTTCAGGCAAGTTGTTTTGCCTCCTGAAGTCGCCAAACTGCTTCTTAAGAATCGACTTCTCTATGAAGTA